GTATATGGCAGAAAGGGCCTCCGTGTAATAACCTGATGTCCACTCCTAGTGGCTGAAAGTTCTCTGTTTTGTGAGAGAGTGACCTTATCCACTACGATTTAAATAAAATTGGCTCGAACCTACATAGAATGAAAGAACTCAACACTCTTCCATGATGTGTAGGAATTCTTGAGGGGGACATGTTTTTCCAAGTTATCTCATGATTCTGGTCACTGCTTGCTTCCTCTAAATGTTCAATTCTCTTAAGTCTCACCACTTACAACTATTCCCCTTTCCTTCTTCCTTTCACCCCCTTGTGACATCAGATGTGTAACACAGACCCTTTCCTTTGATTTCTGAAAAACGCCACTCATCCTGGGAAAATATGAGTAGGAGACGTTGGGGTTAGGACAGGACTGAAGAAAGTGTTACCCTGTCATGCCGACCTCAGTTCTGTCTCCCCGGCATTCTCACCATCAAGAACCTCTCGCGAACATCACCTGCCTTGCTGGACTCTGTCCCCCTTACCACCTATTTTCCTTTCCTACAGCCACGCCCCATTCTCAGCACTTCTGCCAAGTCCCCATAATGCTATATCTTCACAGACCTAAATATTTCTGCTTCAATTCGTTTTCGTTGCATCCCAAACCATTCCAAACAAGTGTTTGTTTAGCAATTAGGATTGGACTCAGCTGGCCACCCTCATGCATCTGCTGTTGGCGGCAGGATGGCTGTGCTTCTGATAACTGGGCTTTCACAAATCTGGGGCCTCGGCTAGAACAAATGGCCTGACTTGATTAGGCTCCATGCAGTCACTCATTCTCCGATAGGCTAGCTAGCCTGGGCTTGTTCACATGAGGTTGAGCTGGGTTCAGTGAAAACAGGCAGAAGCTCTCCAGGCTTTCTTAGGAACAATGTTACACCATCTCTTCAGCTGCATTCTATCAATCAGAGCAAGTCGGCAGTCTCCACTTGGTGGAGTGAGGTACAAAGTTACACTGCAAAGAAGCGTGCCTATGTCAGGGTACCGGTGCAATGGGGAATAATGACAGCCATTTTAACAAATAATTTACCACAGTTTCTTACTTCTCTTATACAGAGCTGTTTAATTCTCTTTGCCTCACTATGAACCGTGCCAGCACAACTCCTAAGGACTATCTTTCCACAGTCAAATAATCCTTAAGTTGTTTTTACTAAAAAGACATTTCTCTCCCCTCAGAAGAATTTTGCAGCCGCCTCTTAAACTTCTGGATTTTTCCTTTCTGAGAACACATGGAAGTAATGCTAGCGTGTGAGGGGGAAGGGGTTGTAAGAAATAAAAGCCATTGTTTTGGCTCCTTGGATTATGGTGATAATTTAATTTTTAATTTTCAAAATGTGTTATTATAGTGACTTTAAGATAAGCAAACAATATAAAGACATATTTACATCTGTTTTATTTTATTTTATTTCACACAGAATTACATGAGGGCAGGCATCCTAATACTCCAATGTGGCGATCAGACAGGTTTCTAACTACCCTGATATTTGCATTTTGTAGAAAATGAGTCAATCACAAACCATGAAATAGATTTCAAGTACACTGGAGATAATTACTTGTTATAAAATGTATCATAAGGCAAAGATTATTTCTAATTCAATTTTCAATAATAGTAGAGTTAATAAAGAACTAAAAGAAAATTGAAACTTCTGTGAAAGTCATAAAAATATATATAACATTTCTTTCCTAAGGAAAAGGAAAGAAACTGATGAGGAAAAAATAATCAGTTCTGGGAAAGCAAATTTTAACAAGTATAGGGCCCTGGCAAGAAAAAAAAAAAAAGACTTGATGGGAAGGAAGAAAAGAGTCCAGAAGAGCTGGATGCTCTTTAAACAAACAATTCTGGCAGGTGAACAAACTATATGGGAAGTGCAGGACAGGGAACGGCCAGCCAAATTGGCAAAGCAGAGCTATGCAAAGTTCTGAAAGGCAAATTAGGGAACTGAGAAAAGATGTCCAGCCAGATCACCAAGGATGAACAAAAAGAAGGGTCACAACTGTGTAGGGACCACATCAAAAGTGAGATAGATAATACAGCGCAGGGTGGACATAAAAGACATCAGGAAGCAGTTAATCAGCTGCATTTACAAAACCCAAGTTTTTTTAAAAAAAGATATTATTGACTATGTTACCATGTGGCCAAGTAATCAGTCGTGGACTTCATATAGGGCTCTGCAAGCCTGTTGCCTAGCCCCACAATCGGCATCAATTAAGATATACTTGATTGCAAATAGCAGAAACTCTAACTCAAATGGCTTTTTAAAATAAAGGGAATTTATTGCTTTGTGTAACTGCAAAGGTAGAATGGTCTTCAGGTCAAGTTTCATCAAGGTTTGAATTCTGTTTTTCTGAAATTATCTCAGCTGTGCCGTCTTCCGAATGTTGGCTTCATTGTCAGATTGGTTCCCTCGGGGTTGCAGAATGGCTGCAGCGATTCCAAATCTCATCTCCTCACGCTGCTACACCGTTCCGAGGACTTTGTCTTCTGCCAGCCCCTTAGCAAACTGTCTAGGTCAGGCTGATTGAAGTGACCCAGGTAGTGGCAACATAGATTAATTTAGGCCTAGGTGTGTCCATCCCTGAAGAGTCAACTAAGGGGACAGATTTATGCTGATGTCTCTGGGTCATGTGCAGCCTGGAACATGGGGCTCCATCTCACCCAGTCCACATGGCTGGCACTCAATGGGGAACATGGGCAGTGGAGGGAAGAAGCCAGAAAAGTGCTTGCTTGAGTTAGTTTGGGCTGTGGAAGAGGATCAGGAATAGACTTTCCTTTACTAATCTGCAGTGATTTGGGTGAATAAACCGACAAGTAATCAGACACAAGGCTATTATGTAGTAAACCACGGCAGGTTAGAGAATAATCTCAGGGCTGAACCTTAGCCTGGATCGCTCCGCCTTCAGCCTTAAAGAAAAGCAAGTTCTATGTAACAGAAGGTGTGAAGAGATGCTGTGCGGCCATCTATCTTCTAAATTACTGTAATCCTTTGACCTGTGGGGCGTGAATCCCACCTCTTAAACTGGATCTCGAAAGAGTCAAACATTCTTGTGCTTACAGCTCGCTTTGTAAGAAAGCCGAACACATTTCAACGCAAATTCGGTCCTCCCGTTAATGTCTGAATAAATTCTCATTTAATTGGTGAGGATAAATGTGAGAGATACACTTTTATGCTCTTAAATTAACAGTGATTTTTTTTTCTCCTACGATTACGAGTCTTGAGGTCTTTGCAATTTCTAGAAAAACATTATTTCTTAGAGAAAATGTTTAGAGCCAGCCTCTAAACCTCAACTGCAAAATAAAAATAATTAAACCAATTTCATAGGGTGTCACGAGAATTAAAGGAGCTAAAGGCACGAGAGAGCCGGCATACCTAATATAATATCAAAACATTATATAATAAATACATCTATATCATATATAATGATATACATCTATATCATTCATTATAGATGTAATATACAATATCTTATAATATATAATAGTAATATCGTTGTTACCCCATTTTACCTGTATTCACTCAGTCCCATTTTACAGAGAAGGAAGCTGAGGCATAGGTAATAAATAGAACTATTGGTTTTCTAAAGTATGAAACTGGCAGAGCTTTTTTCTTGGTAAGTTACTGAGCAAGATTCATACCTTAAAAATAACTTCAATTTATTAATCTCTTCTACTTTCCTTGAACTTTCTTCTGATTACTAACTACTGTGTTTAGTTAAAGACAGTACATGCATGAATGAGAGGCTATCTCTGTTATTCATTCATGGTCAAGCTACTCTACTGGGTTATTTGTTAGGTACCTTCTATCTTCCAGTCTCTTCCTTTTATTTTTAGTTTATAGATTACATAATCTTACATTTACGCTTAACTATCTAGCCTTATAATTAGACTTAAATCCCTAGCACTTAGTAGGCATACATTAATATTTATTGAGGAAACGAATGAATGAAATGTAACATTATAAAGAAAAAAAAAGACTTACAGGAAAGATGAAAACCCTAATTCTAACACCATCTCTCAGGCCAATGAAAGAACTAAAAGAATATAAAAATGGGAGAAAACCTGAACTAGCTGTGGAAACTAGAAAAAGGTAGCATTTACGTGTCAGAAATATTACAGAATTTCTGCAAAATATAATGGGAACAGGAATAGACCAAAGGAAGTCATGGAATGCCAACTGTAAATAGAGTTTTACAAACTGCTTTTATCCTCTAGCAACATGTCTTAAAATATTTTCTCAGTGAATATCAATATTACCACTTCAATTGCTTATAAACATTACCTTATTGATATGTATAATGATTTATTTAATTCTTGCTAACATTTAATTGCATCAATTTTTGCTTTCACAAAACTGCCATTGAACATCAAGAATGTTTCTTATGTTTGAAGGCAACTGCTTGTAGAATGAAAAAAGATTATAATTTTCAAAAATTACAAGAAAAATCAAATAAAACCAATACATATACCAAAATATTACAGAGCCAAAAAAATTTCCGAGAAAATGAAAACAGCAAAATAAGATGAAAGAAGAGCAAATATATTATTAAATGAATAAAAATAGATGAATGTACCTCTTAAGAGGTTAAAACCCTGTGTTTGGGTCCAAAACAACTCAATTTTATTCAGTTTATATAAGGCACTAAAAGAAAAGTTTCACATAAAAATTAAAAGGATATTCAAAAAGAAATTCAGCAAATGGTTGCTTGGAGGACCTGAGTTCTTTCCATCTCTCTGCTCTGTCATCCCCTGCGTTGGGTTTTAGGCTTGTAGTAAGATGATTGTAGCAATTCCAGGTGTCATAACAGAAACAGCAATATTCAGGTGGCTCTTGCTCAGAAGAAAACTATCCCAGAGGCTCGCCACGTACCAGCACACTTCGTTGTAGCTAGCACTGGCTCTCATGCCCAATAACCAATCAACTAAAAATCAGAATGGACTCGCCCTTAGACCAAACCTTCACCTGTGTAAGAGGAAGCTGGCTACCTGCACAAAACTGAGTTTTTATTAAGAGGGATAAATGGATCGTGGTTGGACAGTGATGATTACAATACCAGATAAATATTGAACAAAGGAAAGCTGAAATATACTAAACAGACTTAAGGCAAAAAAGCATTATTAAGGATTTACTTAATGATAAATTCACCTGGGAAACAATTATTCTGATACTGTATCCACCTAAAACATAGCCTCAAAATTCATGCATCAAAAAAGTAAGCAGAAATATAAGGGAGAAATTAACAATCTACAATGATAGATCATGGTGAAAAAATTTTAGCACCTTTCTCAAAGACGGATTGAGCAAATCGAATTTTAGTAAGAGTTAAGAAAATTATTAAACTTGACATAATATATATATATATATGTGTATGTAATGTATACATATACACTCTATATGTATGTAGTCCTAGAAATAAATAAATACATATTAATTTCAAGCACACATTGAATATCTTCACAAATTGATCTTATACTTGACCACAAATACAGCTCAACAAAAAACAATGCAATAAAATTGCAAATGCTATCAATAGCTAAACATAGTCAGGAAACTGATAAATTCAGAAATTTTAAAACCTATATCTAAATAATTCATGAGTAAAAAAATCATATTGAAAATTATCATATAGAACTGACTGACAAGGTAAACCTGACATATTAAAAACACGGGATTATTTGCAGGGAAAATTCTTTCTGAGCAAACTGGAGCTAATCTTTCTTCTACAGCATATTTCATCCAAAATGTTGACACTGATAGACAAATTTAAGAAAATATTTTACTTCTTTCATGTACATTGGGAAGACTGCCCTTGGTTCTTTTTTTCCCTGGATGTTTTCATGAAGCCTCAGCTAGAATCCATATGCTGTTTATTTTCTCTTTATTAAGCATTTTTTGTGGGAATTCCATAGAAATAGTCAGTCCAGTAATGGTCAGCCTTTCTGCACTGCTACCCCACCTGGGAATGCTTTTCTTATCCTATCAGGTGGCCAGCTCCCCTCTTGGCCACTCCACAAAGAAATTTAAATGCCCAGGTATTGGCAACCCGACCATCTCCTCATCGACTACTGCTACCTTCATAACCGCACATTGGCGACTGCCTCTTCCTTGAACATCCTCATATGTAAATTTAAAAACCTACAGAAAAGAGAGACATTAGATCAAAGCCATGCAACATATCCTTCTAACTGTAACTCAATTGAATTGCATGATCAACCTAATACAAAGAAGGAGGAAGAAAGAAATGAGCATTACAATGTCTGCCCTGTAATAGAGAGGGTCTGCAGGGTCTTTCTCTTTCCTTTTTGTCTAATGGGGATGCTAAGGAACCCAAATAAAAAAAATGGATAGAATGATTTCAGTTTCTAGGGTATATTATAAAAATATTGCATTATTATTTTACTGAAAATGGATTTCTTCTCATGGGTACTTAAAAATGCACAAATATTTTTACAGATCATCTGTTATGGTAAAGAGTGGTTTTGCACATGGTTGCATTAAGGAAAACCCATTTTAGTTTCCTTTGACTGCATTCTAAGATCACAAATGTTGGCACTCTTAACAGAACAAAGGATAGACTTCCTTAAGCATGTTTCATGATAATAGCTTTCATTTTATTTTGGTTGGCTAGATGTATATTGCCTCTCCAAGACCTCAATTATATAACCTGGGATTTCCACAATGTTTTTGACAGAAAAATAGAACAAAAATAAGTTATGCAGACCAAATTTGAAACACATGATATGGAATCGAAAGGACTTAGTGATGAAAACGTTGTCTGAGTTAGTGGTAATCAAATCTTGAAATAGATTTCTTCTTAAACAAGCAAACAGCTCAAAGTATTTGGCTGTGCATCACTATTTTTTCAGGCTTGAAAAGATTATATTGCTCCATCTCTCAACTATAGTATATTTACAGCTGGACTTTGAAACTAATGCAGTAAACATCAAACTCTTAGTCTAGTCCTGAGTTATCCTCTCCATTAAGCAGCCTCTGCAAGCGAGGCTTTGGACACTCTCAGTAAAATAACAGGTTTCGAAAACCATGGACTGTTGCAACAGATGTGCTTTTGTCATTTCAAAAGATTAAGTTGCCTTAATCTTCTAATGCAGTAGAGCCAGGTTATAGTCAACTCTTATTTAGTATCTTTCATTCAATACCTTATGAGCTCTTAATCTGTTTTGAGGTCAGAGATGCTTATGTGCATCTGATGAAAGCTGTGGAACTGTATCTTCAAATTTTTGACTCTCATTAAATTGGACTCGTGAACTCATAAATTCACTCATGGACTCCAGTTAAGAATCTCGATCCTAAGGAATCTGAGAATGTAAAAATCTAGAGAAAAGAAGTAATTTATTTTTTTAACTTTTGAAATACAAGTGTTAGATCAGGTTCCATGTCCAGGCAGTTTTATTTTTTCCTCTTCATTCTACTAGATAAGAAAATTCTAACTCATAATTATGGGTCATCAGAACTGGCAGAAAGTCTTTTACGGCTTTGACAAATGGTTCTAGATAACTGGATTTAAATTATGGAGAAATTTTCAACTGAAGACTATTTTCAGTGTTCTGTCAAAGAGTAAATCAATGAACATACCACACTCAAAAGCTAGACTGTTGTATACTTTGAGTTTGGATTTTGGTGCAAATGGTTTCCATTCTTTGGTTGTATTATATTCTGGAAAGCATTCCTACTTCTGTGACAGCATATGTATGTGGTTTTATAATGCGCCCAATATGATGTCATTATTTTTTCCCTCTATAGATGGAGGAAAATTGAATATTTGCTGTTTGAAAAGAGTCATACGCACAGTGATAGAGCTGTTTGTACTAATTTGGTTTTCTCAAGATATTCTCTTTTTTTCCCTCTTCAACATTAAAAAATCAAGTTATTTTTGGTGCCGAAGTGCTAGAAACAGGCTATTAACCAAACCTAGTAGACTATAATACATGGTACTTTAGCGAACTGCTTGAAATCATAAAAAGAGTCTTTACTGGCATTCTTTAAAAGAAATTGAAATGTATAATATAACATTTCTTATTAAAGTTGAGGCCCTCCCTCTCACTTTAAGCATATGATAAAGCTGAATATTATACATGTTATTCATTTGTTCACTGAACACGCTGATTACAACTTACGACCAATGGCTATAATTTGATTATATTCCCATTTTCACTATTACCCCAATATTTAATCAACAATAGGAAGCATATTAATGGCCACTATATCAGTTAGGACATAGACATCACTGCAGGTCCAATGAAGATACATAGTCCAAAACAAGAAAAAAGCTTATTTTTCTCTACACACAAATATCCACGCTGGTACCAAGGATCTGTTCCATAAAATCAGAGATGTGTATGCTCCTCTCTCTTGGCATAGTGCTGTTCTGGATTGTTGCCCTTGTCTGAATAATCCAAGAAAGCCTACCAGATCCATAATTAGCCTGTGGCAAAGAAGAAAAGGGAAGGAAGGGTATAAACCTCAGAAGTTGTACATATCACTGTGCACGTATCCCATCCTATAGTCATATGGCCACACCTGGCTGCTAGAGAGGCTGGACAATGACATCTTTATTCCAGGTGGCCATTTGCCCAGCTAAAATAGTCTAATACCATTCAAATAAGGGAACATAGACTTCGAGTACAATTAAGATTCTTTGCCAGAGTCACCAGCTATTCCCTGTGAATCAAGCATTATAGATTTGACTTTCGGTTATAATCTTTTATTCTCAAGCAACACCTGTCTTGCACACAGACTTATATTCAATTAAGTTCTTTCTAATTCAACTTTTTTCCTGGTCTTCAGCATGGATCACAATCATTAACTAAACAAACAAAAACATTCTTTGTCCCTAATATGGGTTTTTGGTGATAAACAGAATTTTTAAAAACCATTGAGTACTTTCTCTTAAAACTTTCACAACATATGTTTTTGAATAGATTAATATGAAGCATATACATAATTTAATTTGATAGTAAAGCAAAATATCTAAAGGCACAACTTACACAATTAGAGAGTTTTCTTTAGGTCCAATTTGAATTGGGGACTTGTTGGTTCTGATAGCAGGGACTTTCCAAGGGGTGATGCTGGCTTCCAGCACCAGTTATCTACAGTCCACATTTGGGGAACAGACTTACGGGTATGTATAAATTACAGGGGTTTTTTTTATTGCAAACAATAGAAATTGATTCTGTCTAGCTTAAAGGGGAAAAGGAAGGAATGCATCACCATGTTACAGGGGTTGCTCATAGGAAAAAAGAGAAAGCAAAAGAACCAGGTCTCATGAATGACAGAAACCAAAGCAGGGCAGGCAGCCCTGGGGAGCTGTCGGAAAAACCCTCAGGACATCTCTGCCACAGTGAAACAGCCCTTACGGTCTTATGTCCTCGGTCATTGTTCTCTGGATTCTAACTCTTGGGAGAAGACTCTGAAGCTTAGTGTCATGGGCTGAATTGTGTGTGTCACTCGCCTCCACCCCCTCATCCCCCCAAAATCTCCTATGTTGAAGTCTTAACCCCCAGTACCTCAGAATGTGACTATATTTAGAGAGTCTTTAAAGAGGTTATTAAATTAAAATGAGGATATTAGGGTGGACCATAATCCAATATGACTGGTGTCTTTATAAGAAGAGGAAGTTTAGACACAGACACCTATAAAGGAGAATGCCATGTGAGCATGAAGGTAGCCATCTACAAGCCAAAAAAGCCTCAGAAGAAGCCCATCCTCCTGATATCTTGATCTTGGACTTCTAGGCTCCTGGAAAAAAAATTTCTATTGTGTACCCAGACTGTGGTGCCTTTTTTTTATGGCAGCCCTATCAGACATAACATTTGGCTTATCTTTTCTTTAAGACTGCGTGCAATGAAACAGAGGCAGCCTGCCCAAAGAAGGGGGAAAGAACCAGGAGAAAAAGTTCAAAATAGAAAACATGATACATATCTCCAAATACTTGAGGGCTCTTCATATGGAAGAGATATTAAATTTATTCCATGTTAAGAGAAAATTAGTGTCACTGGAAGATCTGAGAAAACATATAATGACAAATATAATAAAGAGCTGCCTAATATAACAGAATACAATCAACTGTAATATAATAATATAATATAATAATAATTAAAACAAATATTATCAGTATTATAGGTAACATTTATTGAGTACTACTGTGGGCCAAGAACCGTGGAAGCTATTTTCCTGCATTATATTATTTAATACACTCAAAAACCTCATGAGCAAGTGACTTTTATAATCCTCATTTTTAAAATGATGAAATCAAAATTAGCAAATGATAAAAGCATATGTTGAACCCAGGCCTATCTGAGTTTGGAGCTAGAATTCCTATCCCAGCAAGTATTCAAACAGCAGCTCAACTTATTGTGGAGGCAGAATTCATAACTGCAGTTTTCCAAACCCATAATCTTTGCTCAAGCTTTTGATTTCAAGAGGCGATGTACTTTTCTTTGTTTTAGCCCTGGTCGGTACATTCTTAGGGGAGGCAGAGACTGGCAGGCTTCAAGAGCTGCAGTTACAAAGAAGCTTTAGAAGGTTAAGAGATTGTTGAAGTATGTGCTGGACTGTATAAGGCAGGTAAAAATTGCTAGATCAAAACAAATGCTTGGAGTGTTCCCAAGATATTTAACTACTACCTATGTTGAAAAAAGTCCCCTCAGTCAGTGTTTATATGTTTCATGTCTTATAACTACTCTGCACCTTGTAAACATAGATGTGACTTAGTGCTAAATTTTTTATAAGAAGTCTACTTTTTGAGGTCAGACTGAAATGTTTAGGGCTGTCTCCTCTATAATGGATCATCCTTTTTAGTGTAGCATCTGCCGGCCTAGGCTGTGCATTAGAAAACGTGGAAGAGCTGTTAAACAATATATAAGCCTGGGCTTCATTCCCAGAAATGATAATTCAGTTGGTCTGGGACGCGGATATTTTTAGAACTTGCCCCCAGTGCTTCTAATATGCATCCAGGGTCAAGAACCACTGTCTAAGAACTCTATGTTCTAACTGTGCTTCAAACCAATAAAATTCTTTTTCTATAAGAAACCTACCTGAATTTTTTCTAAGTTAGAAAAGCATCAAACCGTCTCTGGATTTTATTCTTTCTAATAGAAAGGCTCATGGTATGAATAAATCCATCCTGTCAAACAACAAAGATATGAAACTTTTTCTTATTCACTATCAACGATGCGGGAGATTACTGATGTAGTTGCAAAATTTGACCAAATGATGTCTATACCTTTTTATTCTAGATTATTACACTTTCATATTCTGTTTAGTTAAAAAAATTTTATGAACATGAAGAAAGTCGCTTAGAAATGGGACTTAGTTAATGTATGCTTATCTGTTGTGACGATAACACTGCATAACAAATAGCCACAAACCCTCATGGCCAGAGAATGTTGTGTTTGTAGACCATGCATGTGGGGTGACTTGAGGATTGGCTTAGTGATTCTGCTGGTCTTGGAGGAACTAGTTCATACAACTGGGGATGAGCTGGCCATTGTCTGATCCAGGTGACTAGATGTGACTGAGGTGATCAGGCTCTGTTCACATTTCTCACAACCTCCAGCAGGCTGACCCAAAGATAATCTATGGCGATGGCAGAGGTGTCAGAGAGCAAGCCACAGACACCTTTTTCAAGACATTGCTTGTGTTAGGTCAGCTAACATCTTATTAGCCAAAGCGAGTCATCTGTCTGGCTGAGCCCAATATTAAGGGATGATGGGCAGTTACTCCACCCACTTGCAAAAGGTGTGAAAACAGGGAGGTAAGGAGAATTGAAGCCATCACTGTAATTCTACCACTGTTGGAAAAACAAATCCAATAATGTCAAGCTATGAATTGGAGTATAGAAACTAAAGAAAGATAATGATATGGTAAAATAAAATATTGTAAAGATAATTTTTAAGCAGAAATGGGAGGCTAATGGTATACTTTTGTCAGCTTCCAATCTGCTAAATACCAGAGAATGTGGAGGAAGAAATTAGCTCCTACTTTCTACTACCTTTTTTCTATTTAATACATGACTGTTAAACTCTATGGAATATGGATAAATTATAATGTATTCGAGGGAACTTGAAGGAAAAACATGTCACTGTGAGTACATTTCAAACTATGTAGTTAAACTATCATAATACATCAATGAAGTCACCAAAATTATCAGGGAATAAATATGTGTTTGAGTCAACTACTACGAAATACACCAATTAGGTACAAGCTATTTTCGTAAATCTCTTAATCATTTAAAAATCAACTTTAAGATGCTGTTCTATCAAATTTCATATTATTTGTTTACCTGACTTTAAGCAATAAAACAGATGTTTGGCAGAACATTATTAAAATATGGATCCTGGCATCTGTCTAATAACTCTATACTGTAGTTTCCTTGGTCTTCTCAATTTCAGTTAGGTAATCCTTTAAATGATTTTATTTATATACAAATCCTAATAAAAGTGGTTCTTAAACCTTTTATCATCTTAAAATTTGGCCTAGCTCTTGGTATGAATAACCAGACATAGTTTTTTAAACTTTAAAAAATGATTTGAACTGACTGAATGATATTTAGTGAAACTATCACATTATTTTGAAGGTTTGGAACACAGAAGATGAGCTTCTATGTAAATGTTAATATTGCTTAATCTTTGGATCAGATTAATTAAAGAAACAAAGGAAAGACTTATTACTAACCACCTCCACATAAGACACAGAAAAATCAGAAAAATAGAAATCTGGCAGAATTTTAAAATCTGGCATAGCTAAGATAATAAGAAATTACAAAGTACGCATGGTTTTTTAATGTTTAGCTATCATTTTTTCCACATTAAGGAGTACTTTTCCATAAATGTGTTATATATGTGGTATTGGAACATCAGTGCCATATTTTTTAGACAAGAAGATTTTTGTACTTGAAGGAAACTTGAGGTCACCTGATTTAGCCCCTCAATTTATACAACTGGAAAGTAATCCTCAAATAAGTTGAAGTGATTTGCCAAAAATCATGCAGCAATTTAACCATCATCTTAATATCTAATATTTATGTAGTTTACAAAGCATTTTATAGTCACTATGTCTAATAATTAAAATTACAGACATAGTGTAATTTTAATAACACCCTCGTGAAAGTATGCAGCACAATTCTCATCATCTTTATTGTTTAGATGAGTAAACCAAGGCACAGAGACATTACATAGTTTATCCAATGTCACAGAACTATAAAAGGACACACAGTTCCACTATACCAATCTGCCTACTTACAGCATCAAAGTAGCCCAGTTGGAAATGCAAATGAAAACCACAGTGAGATGCCGCTACACGCCCATTAGAATTAGAATGTCTACACTCAAAAAGAGTGACCGTATCAAGTGTTGGTGATGCAGTGAAAGAAACTGAACTCTCATCTCCTGCTGGTAGGATATGACATCATGGCCACTTTAGATAATAGTTCGACAGTTTTTTTAGAAGTTAAGCATTTACTTACCACATTACTCAGCCTCTCCACTCTTAGGTATTTATCCAAGAGAAGAGAAAGCCTATGTCCATACAAAGGCTTGCACATCAACGTTGATCACAACTTTTTGTAATAGCCCCAACCTGGAAATGCAACAATATCAATGACTCTCAAAATAGTTATGCTGATTGAAAGAAGCCAGACCAAAAAAAGAGTACATAATTGATTATTTCATTTATTTAAAACTCTACAAAATTCAAACTAATCTTTAGTGGCAAAAAGCGGATGAGGTAGTGGGAGGGTGGGAAGGATCTGGAAACAACAGAAAGGGCCAAGAGAAAACTCGGGGGTGATGAAATGTTCGTTCTCTTGATTGTGGTGATGGTTTCATGGGTATATGTATATCAAAATGTATCAAATGGTGCACTTTAAAATATGTAGTATACTATATATTTCAATAAGTATGTCTACCTTGCTAAAGTGTTAAAAACAGAAAAGTGGCCCAGCTAAAGTTAAGATTCTACAAAATCTATTTAATTATACCTAAACTGGCTAGATCATACTAATCCAAAAAGTGCCTTTCTACTTTTTTGATTGAAATAAACCATAGTAATCAAAAACTTCACAATAACAATAGTATTGTCACACCTTTACAACTTTTAAGGCAATTGCAATTATTTTTATATTCTTTCTAACCCATAGTACTACAAATTCTAACAATAAGAAGTTAGTGGTGTGTTTTGTTGATTTGTTTTGTTTTAGTAAAAGTAAAGATTCAATCAGAGAGGCACACTTAACCCATGCTGGTGGGAGCACAAATTAGAACAACTTTTTTGGGTACATAATTTGGCAGAGCTGTTTCAAGGACCTTAAAAATTGTCCTATTCTTTTGTCAGGTAATTACACATCTGGCAGTTTAACTTAAGAAAATGATCTCAAAACAAAAAGATTTGTACAAAAATTACTCCTCCAAGCATTATTTATAATAGCCAGAAATGGAAACAAATTTAATGTCCAAAAACAGGGGAATTCTTAAGTAAATCATGTTACAGTCACTCAGTGGACTGTTCTAGGCAAGTAAATAAATAATTCGTAATGGTATTTGGGGAATCACCTGAAGACTTTCCTGGAAAAAGTGAATCGAAATCATAAAATATCCCTTCCCTTAAAATTAATGAAATGAGAAAAAGTAGGTAAAAACAGAAGAAAAAAACCAGCAGTCAGAGAAAAGGCCAACTTCTTGTAATAATACTTGAAAAGTGGCAGTCAGGGCAAGAGAGAGACCAATTATGTCATTTGGATGAGCTCCTAACTCTCCATTCCTGAGCAGTGAGGGAAATGAGAGGGAGAAAGAAGGTGAGTGTATAATATCCTAAACATTCTTGTGAATCCTATTCAGTTTGGGGAAGACTTATTTGAGACAGAGGGAAGGTGGAATGGAAAAAGAAAAGCAGCAGACTCTTGTGGAAGCAAAAGCCCTTGTAGCCATGTCTGTATCTCACTAGTGACAGGGAAAAGTGTCATGGCTCACCATTCTTGTTTTCCTTGACTAGAAGAAGACGTGAAGGGCACTGCAGAGCAGTCAGTAGTAAAGTACAAATGGTTCAGCAATAAACAAGAATGTACTGCAACAGAAAGCAACGGGGAAAGGAAAAGAAGACAAGTCCATTTGCAAGAGTTGGAGGATGGGGTGTAGCAATATGGGGAGTTTCCATCATTCCTTGCCCTCCCACGCCCCAATCTAAGAATGTCTAGACCAAAACCCTTGGGTTTTCCTCTCTTAAAACCCTTGAGACACAGCAGCATTATTCACACTAGTCAAAAAGTAGAAACAACCCAAATGTCCATTAACTAAATGATGAATAAACAAAATGTGGGCTATCCATACCATGGAATATTATTTGAAAATAAAAAGAGATGAAGTACCGATACGTGCTGAAACTTGGATAATGAAAATGTGTTATATACATACAATAGAACATTATTCAGCCTTAAAAGGAAAAAAGAAGGAAATCCTGTAATATGTGACATGGATGGACCTTGAGGACATGACGCTAAGTGAAACAAGCCAGTCACAAAAGGACAAACACTGTATGATTCTACTACTTCTGCGAGGTATCTAATGTAGTCAAACTCATAGAAGCAAAGAATAGATTGGTGGGTGCCAGGGCCTGCGGCGGGGGGCAGGGGGTGGGGGCAGGGATGGAAAAATGGGGAGTTACTAATCAACGTGTGTAAAATGAATAAATCTTAGAGATCTACTGTACAACATTGTGCCTATAGACAAAAATACTGCATTATAGACTTAAAATTTTGTTAAGAATGTAGATCACATGTTAAGTGTTCTTACCACAATTTAAAAAATAAATAAATAAATAACTATGGCTGAAGCCTGAACACATCATGCTAAATGAAAGACGCCAATCACAAATGGTCATACACTGGATGACTTATTTATATTAAATGTCCTGAATAAGCAAATCCATAGCAAGTAGATTAGTGATTCCCAGGAAACTAGGGAAGGGGCAGGGAGGACTGTGGGTAGGGACTGCTAACAGGTGGAGGGTTTCTTTGGGGGAGTAATGAAAATGTCCTAAAATTAGATAGTGGTGATGGTAACACAACTCTGTGAATAGACTAAAAATACACTGAATTGTACTTAAAAGGATGAATTTTAGGGTTTGTGAATTATGCCTTAATAAAGCTAAGATTTAAAAAAAGAAGCCAGAGAAGAGTGTGAACAGCAGCTGGGGAGAGCTGGGGGAAGTGAAGGAAATGACTCTTAGCTGAAGTGCTAGATCCTGAGCCGGAGGAAGGATCTGAAGCGGAATTAACCCCATTAAATTATAGAAGAAAGATCAGGACTCGTTCACTAAAAAATGACTGACTAGGTACTCACCGAGCTTTCCCTCTTGATTGAGAACCTCAGGCTTCCTCCAAAACAGCCAGAATATTAATACCCACTGAGCTTTCAGATAAATGAGAAGGGAGACTCACTAACGGTCAGATGAGAGAGAAAATCTCGGCAGAACTGCCTGCAGTAAAGAAATAACACAGTCACTATATATAAATACACTACAGCAAAGAAAATCAGAGAAAGATCATAAAAAAGATAAAAGGTGAGCAATCCTTGCTCATAGAAAACGCAACTCAAAGACTAAAAGAAAATCCCATATGAAATAGAAAACGACATGTTATTAAAAAAACATGAAAGAACATAATCAGATTTTTAGAAAGGTTTTTAGAACCACGGAAATTGTGTTTTAAAAAATGGCACCACCACTGCAAAAAAGTAAAAACACTAAAATAAACTTTTGGTATAATGCTAAATAAAAAAGATACATATACACACACACACACACACACACACACACACACACACACACACACATACACACCAGGATTATAAATATTTATTTAATAGGAATACAGAAAATTCCCAAGCCTGATAGAAGTAACTGTTTAAGTGATTGGGTAATAGATCTTCTTCCCTTCTTTTTATGTTTTTGTATTTTCTAAGTTTTCTGTAATATGCATGTATTATTTTTAAAATGTATCTCTTAAAAGGTAATGGTTTTTAAATGGCACAGTTGTAAGTGAGCTTGTGCATGGGTCACGTTCTGTGTGGACAGCGTGTGGCAGCAACGGACTTTCTATCTAAATAGCAGACTGACTAAAACAACGTTTCTTATCCTTCCTCCCAAAATTTCATTGCAATTTCAAAGGAGGTAAATAGTAAAAGGAATAAATCCATAACAGTGCTAGAAACCAAGGACTAGTATCATTAATAAACCAGATATTATGAAGAACTTCTGAAGGACACAAAGCAAAAGGATTGATCATGAAAAAACCAGAGCCAAGTGCCCATAGCTCCGAGCACATCTAGGAGAAGATGGCCAGAGAAGCAAGTTACCATCTTCCCCTCAAGAACCCTCTCAGCGACCTTGGTGGGAGTCAGCAAACCCGTGGAGCCAAAGTGAGCCATGCTCTCTCAGAGGAATACCTACTTAAAACTTTGCAGAAATATTAGTCTAGTAGCCCACAGAAACTGGCAGTTTCACCAGAATAAAGCCTGAAGAAACATTCTCTAGATAAAGCAAAGGGACTATATGGTATCTTTGTGGAGTCAGAGGTTAAATATGGTTAAGGGGGGGGAGCGGGAGGAGCAATAGAATAAAACTCCAAACACTTAAGACAGACAAATTTTCAGATTAAAAGATATCCCCAAGCCAAAAGTCTGAGCAAGGATAGCAAAGAAAGCAAAAGAGACAACTATATATAGCCTGTTTTTCAAAGAACAGAAAAAGAGAAAAAGCTACCTCAATTATTTCATTAGGCTAATTAATATATCCTTGATACCAGAACTAGACAAAAACAATAGAAACGTAAAGAAGAAACCAATCTCACCTTTGAATATAGATGCAAAATCAAGTCAGAAATATACAAAAAGTAATAATATTTAAAAATTGTATCCTATTAATAAGGTGTTTGAATATTAAAAATAACTAACAATGTATTCTAATGCATTAAAAGATTAAAGTAGAAAAAACATACTTCTGTAATTGAAAAAAAGTTTGATAAAATTCAAATGAGCACAATTAAAAAAAAAAATAAACCTAGCAAACTAGGACCAGAAGGCAGAAAAAATAATTAGTTGTCTCCTCACAAGCCACCTTTACTTCTTCCCTCCAAAAAGAACTGGCACTTTTATTCAATCTCCTCTCATGGCCATGGCAATTGTGGTTTTCGCATATGTCCACAAAGTCTTTGACACTCCTCTCCTCGAGAGGTAGAGTCTAATGATGAATAAAATAAAGTGTAAACAGCAGTGTGTGAATTGGGCAATTAGGTAATAAAAGGCAATACAGCTTCTTCCTTGCTCTCTTTTATAGTGCTTGCCCTAGGGGAAGTTAGCTGCCATGTCATGAGCAGCCCTGTGGGGAGGTTCACATGACAAGAAACTGAGGTCGCCAGCCAGCGGTCATACGAGTGAGCCATCCTGGAAGCAGATCCTTCAGCCTTGGTCAAGCCTTCAGATTACTGTCACTTTATCTGACAAATGTACTGCAACCTCATTAAAGACCCTCAATCACAACCACACAGCTAAGCATTCTCAGATTCCACTGTCACAAACTGTGTGAGATAATATATGTAGAATAAATAAGTGTAAGCTGCTAAATATGAGGAGTAATTTGTTAGGCAGCAATAATTAATACAACCAGTCTTCCGGAAAGGCTGGACTTCTCCCCAGCCTTAAGGGTAAGTGTTCACTGAAGCAAGGAGATCACGGTGATCTCATTGTTCAGGACTCGATCCTGGACAGTTAGACATTAAGTATGCTTCATAGGATCAAAAACGCTTCTACACTTTGCAAAAGTCACAAATATTCCCATTTCTGCCTCAAAAAGTTGTCTGAATGAGACACCTGGAACTGTGGCAGCAATTTCAAGATCATGAGAAAAGAAAGAAATACCTCAACAGGAGCACAATGTGCTGAGAATTGGAGAGTGAAAAGACAAAGGAACCTTGATGGATTATGCTTCATAGGATCAAAAAGGCTTCTACACTTTGCAAAAGTCACGAATATTCCCATTTCTGCCTCAAAAAGTTGTCTGAATGAGACACCTGGAACTGTGGCAGCAATTTCAAGATCATGAGAAAAGAAAGAAATACCTCAACAGGAGCACAATGTGCTGAGAATTGGAGAGTGAAAAGATAAAGGAACCTTGATGGAGTGGTAAGATTACCCAGACCTGGGATTCCTTGCAACTCTGACGTTCTTAAGAGGGGATAACAAATGCCTTGAATGTTTAACCCCTTTTAATTACACTTTCTGTTTAATTGTAGGTGAGTGTACCCTGATGGATTCAAAAGAAAATTCTTGTATTAGTTAGCTCGGGCTGCCATACCAAAATACTATAGACTGAGTGACTTCACAATATATCACAGCTCTGAAGGATGAAAGTCTAAGATCATGGAGCCAGCCTGCGCTGGTTCCGGTGAGGACCCTCCTCCCGGCTTAGAGACAGCCACCTTCTACCATTGTCTCTACATGGCACACAAGAGAGAGAGCTTTCTCTTCCTCTTCTTATGAGGACACTAATCTCATTATGGGAGCCCCACCCTTATGACCTCATCTAAACATAATTATCTCCCAAACGTCCCACCTCCAAATACTATCATATTGGGGGTTAGGGCCTCAACATACGAATTGGGGATTGGGAGGGGGAGGGGTGGCAAAACATTCAGTACAGAACAACACTTTAAATCTGATAAAAGATATCTATCAAAAACCCACAGTAAAGATCATATTTACTCATAAAACTATAGGAACAGTCTCACTAAAGATATGATCAAGACAAGGATGCCTGACACTACTACTTCCATTCAGCGTTCAAATGGAAGTCCTAGCAAATAAAATGAGAAAAGAAAAAAACTGAGTAAGAACTGGAAAAGCAGTGTTTAAAATTCCCTTCTTTTGGTTAATGCTATGATTATTTATATAAAAATCCAAAGGAATTTTGGAACAATTTTTATCTATTTTTGATGTTACTGTAAACTAGTAGTGTTTTGTATGATAATTAGATAGCATCTACTAAAATTTTAAATGTGCAACTTCTAATTAAGTATACCAAGTTCAGGAATCTTATAGAAAAATTTCAAAGTGAGTAAAAATGTGTGTGTGTGTGTGTGTATATATGTTGTTTATCATAATATTATTGGTAATATAAATTTAATTGGAAATAACCTAAATGCCCAGTTGATCGAGGAATGGTTAAATAAATTCTAGTACATATAATATTATATAATTGTTGAGAAGAATGAAGTAATTTTATATGTTGACATAGAAAAACTATCAATAAAAGTAGGGAGAGATAAAAACTCGTTAAAAATCCATTTGCACATAGGTGTATATGTAACGTCTAGAAGAATATACGTCAAAGTGTTAAACTATTATGTACATATTTTGTATGTACCTCTGAATAATTTGAAATTTTTCAATGAGAAAATTTTATTTTTTATAAAAATAACTTTGTTAAAATACTTGGTAAACAATAATTTTCCTGGAATTTCTCAGGTATGTGGTCTCTCTGACTCATGTATGTGGGGTTCTCGTATGTACATACATAATTAAACCGATTTTTTCTTGTTAAAAAAATAATTTTCCTGATTTTAAAAGAATTTTAAAATAAAAATAATCTAATATACCTACCCCAAATGAATTACTAAAGATAGGCTACGTACAGTGTCCTATGTAAGAATAATTATATCAAATTTGAGTGTTAATTTCAGATTTGGATATCAGGAATACATCATATTTTGTCAGGTATCCAAACAGGTATTATAATCGCTTCACATCTAACTTCAGATCAGAGAAAACAAAAAGTCTAATCTGATAAATAAAAAAAAATTAGACATGTTACTTGAAGCTTTTAAGAGTATTTTGATATTTTATTTAATTAATGAATGTAATTATTTTTAAAATTTGCAAAAAGGTGTTTATACTCATTCTGCTTATGTCGAATTGTTTCAAACATCTTAGAAGCTCAATATTATTTTTAAAGAACGTTTATTGCAAACACTACACTGCAAATAAGATTGATATCCTCCGTCCTTCCAAAATTGCAATTCTCCTTTTCTGTCTCTACCCCCACGGCACAAAGCATCGGATGGTTCAGCACTCCAAGGAGAGGAGGTGGAGAATGTAGAAGAGAAAGGGAGGAAAATGAAGTCGTCTTCCTACGATCACGGAAAGAGCGATCAATCCATTCATTAATAATAAAAATAACCACAGGAGTCTCAACTTTGTCCCCCGCCCCTCCCCCCTAAAAACCTTTGATTTTTAAGTGATGCCAATTGGATTGTCTAAAGTGTCGTTTTCCTCACAATGTTCTGGAACAAAGCTTGTCCTTGCGGAACAGCTGCTCTCTCTGCCCTGGAGGCCATGGAAGTGACCGAGAAGCTGGCCTTGCAGAGAGAACCGCCCAGCTACGAGGCGACCTTCCCCAGACGGTGAGCCCACAGAGGCCACCTT